CCTAAAATTTTGATTGATGAGATTTGATTCTCTTATTTTTCCATCAAGCAAGGCTTTGCACGGCAGAAAATTAAAGAATTTAAAAGGTTCAGCTATATGACAATTGTCTTTTTCCTGTCTCCTGATAGAAACTACAGTTGTAATTAAATCATTTGACTTATGTTTCGTTCTTTCATCAATTAGTTACTTTACGTTTTGTTCCGCTGAACCCCCGTTTGAACCAATAAAAAATAATAAAATTCGTTATGATTGTCGAAACAAGTTGATTTTTATTAGCTTACCCACGAATTTCAGACTTGTAATTCTTGATCATATAACCTTATATTGTATAACTAGACTTATATTTCTTGATGATTAGGTACGGACTCACTTAAAAATAATAATAGTATCGCCATCCTTAAACACATTACGCTGCGATGAAAGAAACAATATTTAAAAAAGAAAAAGGTAATTACATTCTTGATCAAAACAAGAGTATAAGAATTCAAAATCCATTATTTCAGCTTTCTCATCTTTTATTTGTAATGGTGACATGACATCCGATGACCTTCTAGCAGGAACGTAACTTCAAACGTATTGAAATATATTTGAAGTAGAAGTATAATTGGATTTAGAAGATTATATCGGTGTCCCTAATCTTTATTCATCATACAATAAAATGAAGATACTAAGATCAACTTTAGTATTTTTAACAGAGGCTTAATAGAAAGACCTCTTGTATAAGAACGTTAGCCGAAGCCATTTGCCGGCTGGGAAAAGAGTAGCTTCACACGTTCTACGCATATGTAAAATATTATTCGTTAATAATTTTTTTAAACTAATTGACAGTTACACCAAAGCAAAAATGTACCTATATATTACTAAAACTATTTCTGTCTGAGCGCTGGCCTTAAATAGTTGCTTTCAGTTACGGTTTCGTGTTGAAGTGGGGTACGTGTGAGGCTGATACGATTGAGTGGCTTTTTTTTACTGAGCGGAAGTTTCTTTCTCCCACTGGGCATAATGCTAGGTTGGGCAAACTGATTTGCAGGTGACTGGTCCAACAATCGTTTAGGATTTGTGCAAGGTTTATACTGAGGGATTGCGTATCTTTTAGGTTGCACAAAATTGGAGAATAACTGGGCACGACAGGATGTCGGCTGGTGGGCTACGGAATTACGGCAGAAATGTTCCACGCCCATCAAAGGCGTCAAAGGTTTATGTCAAGCTGCGTAGGTGTACTGCGGATCAACATCAAGACAAGCATAGAATGAAGCTCTTTGGTCTATCTGTTATTATTCAAATTTCTGTTTCATTCATTTATGCGTTCAGCAAATGTTCCAGTGTAGTTGCTTTTGCTACTATATTGTGCCCTCATGTTAACTGTCAGGTTCGTTTTTAGCAGGATACGTTTTCGAAAGTATTGCATGACAATTGTTACAAAATAAAAAAAACCCATCTAAGGGAAATAGCAGTAAAAAAGAGATCACTTTTATGTGTATAGAAATAGTATAAACGTAAGCAGGATAAAATCTGAGTTTTTTTTGCTTTGATAGAGAAACGAGAGCCTCCCGGCGACTCATGCTCTTTCTTTATACTCTCTTTCCCATATACTTTCAAAACGATTAATGGAGAATAACTACCCCTATTTATAGACAATAAATCTTTTTTTTGCAAAACTCGTTCATCCCGTATTCCCGAATTATATTATCCGAATGTTAGCCACGTTGCCACGAGGCCATACCACGCGAACGCTGCTGCTGCCGCTGCCTTCGGCTAAATGTAGTAGCAGACGTTGCAGGGCAACGCAACGAGAAATTACATTGATCATTTATAATCCCGCAAAACTTATTCTCATTGCAGACGAACCTTTTTTTGCCCTCACGATCTTGTCCAATGATTCTCACACTGCTTTCTTTACCCCGTTCCTTTATTATAGGAGAAGAGCAGGAAGCAGCAGACACACAAACCACCGCTATGGCCGACTTTGAAGGCGTTGTTGTAGCATTTCTTATCAGACTCTTATGTTTATTTCGGTCCACGAAGAGAAACAAGGAGGAAATAGAGAGAGAGAGAGGGAGAGAGAGAGAGAGAGAAAGAGAGAGAGAAAGAAATAGAGAGAGAAGTCGGGGTTAGGCAGGAGTACCACCTCCGGAGACGTTCCGATTGCGTTTCCGGCCGTCTGATGAGAGCCCAGTTCTGATGCAGCGGGGATTCAACCGTCGTTGCCGATTCTTATCTGGCTTGCACTTGCCGAGTGAATGAGGAAAAGTGCAAAAGAGATAAAAAGCTGGTTCTGGTACAAGAGGTATAGTAGTATAACGACTGTCGCCGCTTTACGCGTTTCTTGCGTTTGAGTGTGGCTATTTACCAGGAATCTAATCCTCGGCTTTAACCGCATACCACAATGCTTTTTTTTCGCTCCGCTGTACCCCCCAGAGGCACGCAAATGCTTTCCACCCTCATGGGACTAATAAACGAAGCATAAATAGAATTTGCTGGCGTTGAAAGGTATTGAGGATATCGGTAAGAAGTCCTCGCGTGCTAAGCATATGTTTATTTATTCTCTATATTCTAACATACTTCTTTGCCAGTGCAGTGTTACAAAACGATAACTTGAAAAACCTGTAAGTAATAAACAGATTACTTCACTTGCTAAACAGATAATGCACCCTCAAAAGAGCCTCAAAAATAGATTGAAAAGAAAAACAGTAAAATAAATTATTTGGTATTATGATTTTCATCGGGTTTGCCATTCGACTGACTGTAGTCATTGTAGGCCCTGCCATTTTAAGCTATTCGGACTATTTAGTTGATCCTGTCGCTTTCTAGATTGGCTCCCTACACAGTTACACTGAGTGACTTTACCATTATTCATTCAACCGTGTCCACCTGCGACCCAATTCTGTTGGACAACAGACGCAAATGCTTTGATACTGGATCTTAGCAGCAATTAACATGCCATGACTATTTACGTGCGTAGGTTACTACTCACCGGGAATAAAGCCATCAAATGTTTATAAAAATAATCAGTCAAGTTGTTCTTTTTCGTATGTACATACTCTGCTCCTCCCTTCTACTACTTCCTATAAGTGTATTTCCACATGCCAATGGCTACTAAAGGAAAACAGGTTTTGTGAAGTGGGTTAGATCATCTTCTAACGTCCTCTTCTTCTCAGTGTTCCCTATTACTTGATTCTAAATTTACTGACTACACAGATATGGAAGATAGCAGCAGTATCCATAACAGCAATATGGCCGCAACATAACTGCTCGGCTACCACTCACATACGGGGCCCTTTTTCTACAAGGCTGTGTCACGTGACTCGTACACTACTCCCAGTCTTATTACATAGTGAGAGCGTTTCAGCGGACTTCCTCATGGAGGTCATGATCATCATCATTGCCGTCATCATCACGGTGATTTTGCCACCACTTTGCGCTAAAGGGGTGCTTTGCGTATTTTCAGTTTGTTTCTCTTTTCCAGCCCTTCGATGCTGCCTACTAAGAATTTTTTCCCTGACTGTGACCGCGCACCTTTTCTTTTCTCAAGTCTCCGAATAGATGCGATCTCCACAACACGTTATCTTCTGCCTTCTCCAACCGTATCTGTTCTCTTTGTAATTCGAGAGTGCGACCGGCAGATTTTTCGTGTGATGCTTCTGTGCTAGTTTCGTGTTGTAGGCACGAAATGAAGGAAGACTAGACCAAAGAAAGCCGTACGAGACGCAAACTTTTGCGACGTGACCACTACAGCCGCCATGCAGACCACAGTCAACTGCTGGGCCATGGCAAGCCTTCACGAGAATGGAAAGAACTCGGCAACAACTCGGTTAACGTTGTACCACCTTGACGGTGGCAGGAACAGCCCGTCAGCAATTCGCTAAACAGAATAAACAGAAGTCTGATCTCTGTTCCGAACGTAAGGCGGAGTTTACTTGTTTCTTTTATCCCACTAGCCCCAGCGTAGCCCCTGCCCAGCAGTTAAATGCCTTTAGCGTCGGCGGTCTAGCTCTAACTGAAGAAAGTCTAGTTGACTGAACTAATGAATACCACTCCACTCGAGGATCTCGAAGCTTACTACCGTGCCTATGTCATATAGCAACAAGCAGATTACCTGTGTGTTATCCGGCGGTTTCCAGCGCGGCAATGTTTGGTGATGTAAATATGTCCTTGTTTTTATACCAAAGAGCGTGAACAAGGATTTTCCGTGCTGTAAGGTTATCACGCAATAACTTGCCTTAAGTAGTGCACTATTTCTTTTAAAAGTAACTGTGAAGAAAACAACAACGACCTTATGCTACTACCGCGGTGAGGATGGTTCGGGTTAAATCGTTTGTATAATGTAAATTTTGTCAGCGGTTTTACTTTAAAAAAAAAGACATTGTGGCCATACACATTTTGTTATTTCGCACAGCTGGCTCTCCAATAAGGCTTGAAAAATGATCGCTAACAATTTTCCACACGACCCATACAAAATGAAGATAACCGTTTGCCTTCGCCCTTCTACAGACAACATCGATCGCACGTAGTATTTTTGTTAAGAATTTATGGTCTAAGAAAAAAGGTAACAGGTTTCTGCAATCAGTAATTTTTATCACTTGCAGTTGTTATTTATTTGTGGTTGTTATTATTGTGCAATGATGCGTATGATTTGACAACTAACACATAGCCACACAATCGGCATATCACACGTAGCATCCTCCACAGAAATAAAGCTGAGAAACGTAACATTACAACAGACGATTCCATGAATGCACGTACCTTCACAGACACGCGCACACACATATATACACGTGTGCATATATATATATATATATATATATATATATATATATATGCACACGTGTAGCTTTAATGATTAACCACAATCAAACCATTCAAAGCTAGTGAGGTAGCCCATTGAATAATTGAGAAACACTTTAATTCTATGTGAAATATTTAATTTCATTATTGAAGCACCCGTGGCTCTTACTCCTCTTTTACCTCTCGCATTTTGATTGTCGGCCGCCGTGGGGTGGTTTTTTCAGTGATGTGCCTTCAGCGGGGTTCCAAATTCTTTATTCACTTTATTCAGCCAGTGACCGCACTACATTTCCATCTTTTGGTAATGAGAAAACGATGAAGGAAAAGTGAGATGCGAGCGGTAAGCTTAAACAGTTCTACCGAGTTAAGTTACCTTTACAATGAGAGAAGCACAGGGGTTAGACGAGAACGTGAAGTGAGTCTATACGATAGCTGTCGTACATTGTGAAGAGGTAACATCAACAGCGGCGGTCTGACCGGTTGTACATAGTAACTAACCATCGCAGTCGAAGTAAGCCCAGCGGGCGAAATTACTTCAATAAATTGTTCGGCTTGGGGAGGACCACGGAACCAATGGCCCGCGGGCACGAACTACCTCTCGCGTCGCTGTGTAGTAGAAAAGTCGAGCTTGAGAAACCGGCAGTTACCTCGCAGGTCATCGCGGATTCGCGGGTAATGAAAAGTGATCGAGAGAGAGAGGTTTTCGAATGCTCATGGGAGAGGCGCTATGTTGCTAAAAGTAGCATACCTCCATCACATGACGTAAATGACTATTCCGGTCATAGGCATAAAAGTTCAAGTGTATAATGGTCGGCGCAAGCAGATCGAGATATGCAGACATCTAATACAAACAAATTATTGCACCAACACAGCAACACGGCTACCTGGATTTGATGTATTAATGCCATTACATAACGAGGGCAAGTATGGGGGTGCATTTATACAAGCTTTTTTCCTTTGTCCCTCTTTCCAGTTACCTCACTCTCGTCAACTGAAAACCACTTACCCATAGTCAAGAGCATACAGACAGAGAGGAAGGAATTTTAGAGTGTTACTTCAGAAAGAACAGCCCCACCTTTGCATTTATTTCGTGAAACCACCGCAGACCTTTGCATTCAAGCAAACACCTGCATATTAGCTTAAAGTCCTGCTTCCCAAAAATAAACGGAGGGCCATTCAAACCTTAATATTAAGCGCTAGCGCAATAGGAGAGAAATTGTAACAAAAGGCAGAAAAATAAAGCTTTTTTAGAACATACCAGCACCCAGAAACGGCCCTCTGGATTTCGTTACTTGTACGGTTCACGTCTATTGCGCCGACTGAGGTAGCGTCTGATGTCAATGATGAAGCAACTCTGTTGCAAGATCTTATGCGACTTAAGTCGTGTCACTTCGATACTACTCCCCCCAAATTCACCCATCAAAAAGGTGTTTCGGTTGTAAGCGTTAATGATCAAAACCATTATCCTGTAAGCAACGAGTTTAGAAAAAACATGTTTGTACTAGAGAAAATGAAACAATATTATTCCTAGTTCTTTTAACAAGAGACTATTTTAATTTACTTTTAATCCGTATAACCTCATAATCATCTATTACCTTATCGAAATACCAAAATTCTTTTACTTCAATTGTGTCAACAATACAGTGATTTTTGATGGCGGTCCGAAAAGTTGAGTACGTATCATTGTTTCTTATAATGTTAGCAATTATGGCTTCGCACGAATTGTTCTGAGTTAAGAATCCTGTAATAAGATTCACCAGAGAACTTATAATGTCCCTATCAAAGACGATGTCTGCTCCTACAATGAGAACATTGTCCGAAATATGGCCCCCAACACACCTAAAAAAAGAAGAAAAATGATATTTAATATCTGAAGAGTCACTGTGTCGAAGCCGAACAGAATTATTAGGCGTGTACGAATTTCAAAACAAGTAGTAAACGTTATTATTACACCTCGTATATAAATGTCATTTATTTATTATAGTCTGTTAATTCCTGTACGGTACGCACCAATCTAATAACTGCACTCGCGCACGGGTGTCACCATTGCTTAAATTAATTTGAATATTTTCCCTTAGCGTATCGAGAACAGCCGCGTGGCAGTCGGTAAAAGTGAACGATTCGATTAAAGGCCGCGCTTTTAATACACACAGACCGGTGAGGCCAACCCCTGAGCCTAATTCGAGAATTCGCCTTCCGCTGAAATTGCCAAGGCGGAGCAGTACTTCCAAGAGGATTCTTGACGCTGGCCACGACTTCAGCCCTGTGGTTCCTTATTAAAGTATAACACAATTACCTTGCTATTAACTGTGTCATTGCTGTGCTTCCCTAACATGTTTCTAGTGAAAGCAAACACAATGCATGATACTTTCGTATTTTTCACAAATGTATATTGTTTGTTATGTCGATAACTCGCGGTTTGAAAGCCACGTTTGTATAATAGTTCCTTGACATACAGACGGAATACACTATGTTTGACCTATCAGCTAACCAAAGCATGGGGTGATTAGTTATCGAAAACTTTGTTTGCTGTTATGTTGTAAACTGCGTGTGTACGACGATTAAAAAACAGTATAAAACGTACTATTTGTATCGAAAAATTTACCCTGTGAAGCGAATGCGCGGTTTTCCTTCAGCGTAACATGGAATGGGCCACTTCCGCACTTCTCGTTTATGCTATACGTGACAAAGCCCTCATGACTTTCTGCCGACATTGCGGTGCTCAACTCTGTATACAAGGCGTCGCCAAGGTCCCAGTGGCCATCTAATCTTGAGATGAGTGTTTTCAGCACAGATAATCTGCCTTGTACAAGTGATACATTTGACAATTGAGTGCGCAATTTGATCTACCGTATCTGGTTATAGCGAGGTAAATTAATTACTTTCTCTATAGATTATTACAGTAGTTTAGGACGATTGGCTTCGAACGAAATATGTCCACGGCGTGCAGAGGCTAAATGAATAGAGAGTACTGCTCTGCAATATGGGTAATAATCGGGCATTAACACTGTTATTACCAAAGCAGCCAGTAGACTATAGCAAATACCTTCATACATGCAAAAAAAACAAGACAGGCTTTTCATAAATACACTTGAAATCGTCACGTACAGAAGAACGACAACTAAACGATGATCAAAACCAGACTATGTAAAAAAGATATGGCACTGTATATACAGATATGTAAGCAATTTTTTAAAAGCAATATTGCATTTTTATATTTTTTCAAAATGAAATCAGATCTAAATGAAGCAAGAATTGCAGGAAACACTAGGTTTCGTCTCTTTCAAAAACTAAACATAAATACTAGCTATAATAAATAGCACAAGGGTCAACCTGTAGTCTTTGTGGGGTGGAAAGGCTCTGGCGGTGGGGTTTTGGAACGCAACTTCGACCAGCATAACTTCATCGAGATCTGGTAGCAGAGCTTCCACGGCATCGGCGATTTCCCTCGCGGGTCGACAAGCCAGATACTGTTCACCAATGTTCTTGATTTTCAAGAGTATACCTTCGTTGTCGATGTCATTCTCTCGTTGTATCTTCTGCCTCGTATCCATCAGGCTGATTTTTCTGTACACCCTATTAAAATGCTTCTCTATCCTTCCAGAGAACCTCCGATACTGCACTTAATACATTCGCCTCGAAGCAACCGTTCCGTTTCTCATGTAGTTCCCGTAAGCTTTACCTTCATGTTCACATAATTATACTAGTACCATGTATTATATAGAAGCCGTCAGAATACCTTACAGGTTGTTACCTAATGCAAGAAAAAATGACGCCCCTCAGAAACTTCGAGACGAAGCTGTGTAATCAGCTGTGTAACATATTACCAAGCAACCATGTTTGGGAGAGGGCGGGCGATATGTTTGAATTCTTGGCGCCAGATGGCTCTGTCGGTTAGTGTTCACCCACTTGTTGTTGTAATCGCTACTGTTTCATTATTGGCTTATTCAAGACAAGTTCCAGCATTTAATTTCCTAGCAAAGTTTCCTATTGTAATTTACTTAATACAAACAGGAGTATCCGTTTATTTATTCGATGTAATTCTTATTATATATATATATATATATATATATACATATATATGATAGTTGAGCGATTTTTGAAAATCGGGACGCGTTACCTTGGTATAATCTAAATAATGAAGATGGCCAGATCTCATTAGATCAATTTAGAAAAAGGCCTACGTAAGCTAGATTATTTTATTCAAACTACTGAATATCGATGAAAATTTTCTCAAAGCAAAAAAATGCAGACGGTGTCTAGAGGACTCCACACTATCACCGGTTTGTGCTTTGGTGTCATTGAACATTGATATAATCGGTTAGAAATTTCTTTATTTTGTCTAATAGAAGCATCAAACATTCACTTTTGAAAAGTGTTGACACGTGTGGTAAGAGCTCGTATTATATTTAATTATGAAAGTAGAGCTTCAGCTTTCATTATTTGTTAACTTACTAAGATCATTATTATAGTTAGCATTAAGCTTGTTAGCTAAACGAGGCAAGGCACGATTTATGTATAATAGGGAACCTAACATAAACGATCTGGCTGTGATGCAGTATTCCCATTGTAACCCGAACGGCATTTGTAAACTGTTTGTTCTCAGTTGATTGTTGCAATAGTCATGCCTTTATTGAACGATTAAATTTATTACACTGCCACTACACGCCATTACTAGTAGCTAATAGCGTTGCGTAACTGAGTGTTACTCTAAGTGCCGCGCATGCGTCCCATGCTAAGCTCAAAACCACGCCATTCTGTTTTACAGTAGACAGTGTTGTGTGAGCTGCCGTAAACATTTATTGCTTGGCGAATCGTGATTCACCCCTGTTTTAAGTGACGGGAATGGCTGGCAAACGGTAATTGTCGGCAGTACAAATTAAACATGTTTATTTCTATTATGAAAGCTGTTATCTCCATAAGACTTAGCGGCAAAGGGTAGGATTTCCTCACTGGAGCAGGTATAGCAGCGAGTTGTTCGAGAGTATTTTGCTCGCTATCGGCTACCTTTCATCTTTGATTAGCTGTCTCGCTCTAGGACACCGATTATTACCCAATGTATCCCTTCTAAATTCAGAATTTCATTAGAATGACTACTATTCAAATTGGTTCTCTTCTCTTAACAACATCATCTCCTGATATCGTAATAAAAGTCTCTGTTCCTTTTTAGTACGACGAAGTCAGTTTGAAGGACGACTCTCGACGTAGCATAACATATAGCTGCTTCACATCAAAGGCTTCAAACTCATTGCGAGGAGAAGTCCAACAGGACCACAGCAGCAAAATACAGCCGAGTACCTTTACGCATACAATCCCCCATAGAGCCGTGTACAGCCAAATACAGAGTCACATACACAAACTGTAGATCGACTACAGAAATTTCGACCGCCCTACACGCCCCCAGTGAAATCTGTGTGAATGTAACACTAGCCGTAAATGTACCCGAGCTCGTAGATGCAGTGGAATACGTTGCTCGCAGTGTTCACAAAAGCGTGTCCCCTTTCGCACTCAGTAGTCCCACCGTCCCACGCTAACAGGCGTCAGAAGTCCAATCCCCCACGGACTGATCGGCTGAACAAGACACGAATTTTCAAATAGGATTCTCGCAAAAGCGAGGCGCGACTCCGATTTTCTTCTTCGTTCCTCTCATCCTCTGTCCCGATGGCACAAGCTCTTGTTACATCGTACTTGTACAGGCAGATTCGGCAAACCTCTACACGCAGTTCCATGGTGTCGGTGCCTGCCTCGACCCACCCTTCTCTCGTTTGCCCTCCTTTATAGTCTGACTATGTTGTACTAGTATGCTGAAGCTGGAGTCGCCGCTGCTGGTGCTGCTGAAATAGAACCACCGCATCTTGTGCTGCCGCCGCCGCCGCCGTTGCTGCCACACGCGCAAGATATTCGAAGAGGCCAACTTTTTGTCCATATTCAATTTACATGTTAAACCACCCAGTGGTAGAGACAAGCGCTCAGAGCCGAGAAGTAGAAGGGGGATTTAAGATAGAGCAGTCCACTGGCAATGGGTGAATAGCTTGGGAGAAGGGCTATGAAAAAATTCAGAAAAAAGTTTTTTCTTTCTTTTCTCTGTTATGGTCTTTCTCAGAGTACAGAGTGACCTCATGTTTGGTAATGTGAGCGTGAGGCAAACGGCTTCAATGGGAATTTAAACTCGTTGAGGCCAGAACGCCGAATTGAAGTTAAGATGGATAGGCGGCAAGTTACTCGTCCTTTTGCGTTTGCTCCTCGAGCGGTACAACACCGTAGACGAGACTGAAGCGCCCGAGTGGAAAGAAAACAAAACAGGAAAGGGTTGTGACGAAGTAGAAACTTGGTTGAGCTGAACTATGGTGAACGCGTTGAGTGAAACCCAAATGGAAAGGCGTAACAAAGATACTTCTGGGTTAAGTTGCCGGTAACGCAGCCGCATTCACGGTCAAAAGGAAACAGTGACAAACCCAGGAATATAGTTTGTTTCCGCGAAAAGCCCTTGGTGCATCGTTGGCAATATTAGGCAAGATAAGGATGTTCAAAATATACATGTTGAGTGGGGCAGACATTTTGGGAATTTTGATGGGAAATAGATATTCGACCATATTTGGGTTCTGTGGGTATATCCCGTGGTTTCGTATCTCTATATCAGGCCAGGTACACAAGTTGAGACAACACTGTGGATGCTCGTCTTACGCTTGTTCAGAGAGCAATGGGGCCTGAAACGTAATCTGAGTCGCTTTTTGCAGTGCAAAAATGCCCTATGGCGGAAAGGCAACCAACGAAAATGCAATAAAAAATCAAAGCGTAACTGTTTCTTTCAGGCAATCCTATGTAACAAGCTAAGTAAGTTACGATGCAAAAACCTTATCTACCAGTTTATCGCCATAATATTTTATTTATACTCAGTTATGCGTGCTACGCGTTTTCTGGTGGCTGTGAGATTACCTATTAATCTTTTTTTACCGTGTTGTACCTTCAGATAACTGTTTATAGGTGCAGAGTTCGATAGCTATATATATAGTTCTTGCAGTCGAACTAGCAGTTCATTTAAGGCGTTTTTTTTTCTTGTTGTAAAACGTCGTGAATAACAATGTTAATAATAGGGCAATTTTCTGCTCTTATATTATTTTACACGACAAACACCTAATTGTGAATGATTGCAAATGTCTTCGTTAACTTTCGGACAAAGCTAGTCTTCGAATTTTACAAACCCGAGGTGAGCATTCTTGCGAAATTAGCCCCGGTTTTGGCATCATTTCCTGACCCTATTAGCGATACCCAAGTTGAAATGTGCAGGAAAACAATGGCAACCGTACTATGGACCATAAGTTGTTGTTAACGCAAATGACGCCATAGCCTGTTGGGTCTCTCTGTTTTAGGAACGATTTGTGGCGGGCAATTTTGAAACGCAAATAGTTGGCCCAACAAAATGGGCCGTTTTATTATCGGTTTGCATCTAGATCACCCTAGCCATTCACAGTGAATGAAAATGCATCATGTTACCGTATTACTATAAATATATAACACTTGCTTTTGTGGTATTCTTGTAAATAAATTTTACGTTTTTAGTACGCTTACAGAGCATGTATACGGGGATATCTCTCTTTCTCTACTTTTTATTGGGCTACTTCGCTTCTGATTTCCTTAAGTTGTTTCTCCTGCAACTTGTCCAAGCTACGCTACTGAGTGCAATGGACTTTCATTCAGCCTTTACTTCTCTCCTTGTTTCGTGCCATTGCCTGCTTCACTTGCCTTCGTTTTTCGCTAACGAGTGAAGCCCGTAAGCTTCACTTTGACTTCAGTGCACACGACCTTTTTCAGCGATTCGGCCTTATTTGGCTCCGTAGTATCCTAATCTTTAGCTTCTATATACTCATAGTACAAGTACTGGCTATATGTGCTGTCCTACTTGCTACAGAACAAATAAGCATCCGATCACTGGCCAACTCAGCGTGCCGCTTGGCACAGCAAAGCAGCACGCTCGCTGAGCACACCATTCCCTGCCACGATTTCCAAGGGAAGGCTGGAATTCTAAAGGAGCGGCAGCTCTCGCTAAATCGAATAGCTATCGAGGGACAGGTGAGTGACCCTTCGCAAGTGCCAATGTAGTTTGCAGACAGAGGGGTTAGTTATACAAACATAAAGTAGACTTTTATAAGTGTCTATGTATATATATAGGCGTCTCTGGTGCCAGGCGTCTCTCAGCCTATATGTGCGCGCGTGCGTGTGTATGCATCTGTGTGAATTGGTGTCCAGACCCCTTCATTTCTCCTTTCTTTCCGCTCTTTGCCCATGAGTCGTCATAAGTTTTGCTGACTATCCAGCTCGATAAAGGTAATTAACACTGAGATTCCCTGGTTGCTTTATTGGACCCACGTACCAGATAAGTGAGAGTAATAGGTGCGGAAAGCTGGGGAAAACAGCTGTGCATTAGAGTAGGCGACATTGCATTGAAGCTCGACCAAATAGGAGGCACAGGCAAAACGAGGGCCCCTGGTTTAACGAAAGCGAGGAGAATCGGAGTCGGAGTAGGAAAGGCTGCCGGTATAGCAGCTATACTGTCAATCGATAGGAGAGCTTCGACGATTGATAGAACAATTATTATACGATCAGTAGTATCCCATGCGCACCATAGACGAAAAAGGGCAGAACAGACAGGCCGCTACCCGATTAAAGACGTACCAGGGAGGACATTTGTGCGGAAAGATATTCACTTGTATAGGTCCATGCAGGCATAGGCAGATCAGACGACGAAAGTGGCAAACAACACATAGCGAGAGAACGAAGTTGAAGCAAATCGAACACGT